ACGTACCGGCTGTGGAAGATCCGCAAGACCATCATGCAGGTCCGGGGGAACGGAGGGACCGGGAGGGCCCAGCCTGGTGTGCCGGGAGGTCTGGAAGCGCTGCGGGGTGGAGGCCGCTCCGCCGGTCCGTTCCCGGTGCGGGCGCGTTCCTGAGCCCGGTGCTGCTCCCACAGCTCTGCCACGACCGCGGGTACCTGGTGACCCAGGACGAGCTGGACCAGACGCTGGAGGAGTTCAAGGCGCAGTTTGGGGACAAGCCCAGCGAGGGCCGCCCCCGTCGCACCGACCTGACCGTGCTGGTGGCTCACAACGACGATCCCACGGACCAGATGTTCGTGTTCTTCCCCGGTGAGCAGGGGAAGCCCCGGCGGGGTTCCCAGCGGGAACGGGAGGCTCTCGGTGTTCCCGGCTCCGCCTGTGCCCCCAGGTCCAGGTGACCCCAGGATTCGGAGCACAGGGGGTTCAGGTGCCCCCGGTGTGGCTGAGCCCTCGGGGAGGGGGGTTCAGAGCGCGGGGGCTCGCGGTGACCCCGGCTCTTTCCTCAGAGGAGCCCAAGGTGGGGATCAAGACGATCAAGATGTACTGCCAGCGCATGCAGGAGGAGAACATCACACGGGCACTGATCGTGGTGCAGCAGGGAATGACCCCCTCAGCCAAGCAGGTCTGTGGGGACAGGGCCATGTCCCACTTCGGGGCTCCTGGGGGGACCATGAAGGTTTTTCCCTGTTTCCTAGCGTTGCTGTGGATAAATAAAAGCCCCGAATTTACCTCTGGATAAAAGCTTTTGCTGGAGCCAGTTGTACCTTAGCACAGACTCTTTTTTAGCACCCAAATGTGTTTAACCAGAGCAGCTGGTTCTGGTGGCAGTGGCACAGCTAAGGGCCCACGAGCAGTCAGGAGGTGGGGAAGGGAAAAGGAGATGTTTCCCTGTTCCAGGAGATCCATGTGCTCGTTCCCAGCTTGCCTGTGTCTGTGTGAGCCCAGGTGCTTACCCAGGAGCAGCTCTGAGCACTGCCAGGACTGCCCCAGCCACCTCTGATGTGCCTTTTCCTTCCAGTCCCTGGTTGACATGGCTCCCAAATACATCCTGGAGCAGTTCCTGCAGCAGGAGCTTCTCATCAACATCACAGAGCATGAGGTGAGCAGGGGTAGGATGGTCCCTCCCTTGAGCTGGCTGCATTCCTGCTGCTCCCAGAGTCCTCCTGGCCTTTTTGGGCTCAGGGACACACTTGTCCTTTTCCCCTCCCAAACACGTTGTCTCCAGTTGCTGCCTCATCTCAGCCTCTCTTATGTTTGCAGCTGGTGCCAGAGCACGTGGTCATGACAAAGGAGGAAGTAACGGAGCTGCTGGCCCGATAGTATCCTTTCAGTGTCCCTTTCAGTGTCCCTTCCAGTGTCCCTTTCAGTGTCCCTTTGGTTCCCTCCCCCCTGCTTGGGTGCGATGAAATTTGGGCTGAAAATCCCCCCTCCTGCCTCCGTTCATTTCTCTGTTTCACGAGTTGCTGACAGCCCATGGCACATCTAGAGCTTCTCCTTGACTCCCAGCACAGCAAACTGAGGGAGAACCAGCTCCCCAGGATCCAGGCCGGGGACCCTGTGGCCCGCTACTTTGGGATAAAGCGTGGCCAGGTGAGTGGAGCAGGCTGAGGCAGCAGCTCCCTGTGGCAGGGCAGGCAGGGGATGACCCTCGAGGGCATTTTGGAGCTCTTGGAGCAGGAAAAGTGTCTCCTCCTCCTCTTCCTGAGCTCTGTGTCTCCCTTGCAGGTAGTGAAGATCATCAGGCCCAGCGAGACGGCGGGCAGGTACATCACCTACAGACTGGTGCAGTGACACAGTGGGTAAGGATGAGGGGACCCCCTGCTTGGGGGGGCTCTGGGCAGTGCCAGGGAATGTTCCAAGGCCAGTGTGAAGCAGCTGCTTCCAGGGAAATGTCTCAGAGTTCTGAATGGCTCATGGAGGGAGCTGCTGGGGAGAGCAGGGTGAGGCTCCCCTGCCACCCGTGCCTCTGCTCAGGCTGTGCCCATTGGAATTTGGGGTGGTCAGAGGGAGCTGGAGCAGGATCAGGTCAGGGGCAGGAGGTGATTCCCATTCCTCCTTCTCTTCCAGGTGTGAGAATCTGCATGGCTTCCACCAGCAGTTCACAGGAGCTGGGAGATTCCTGCACTTGGAGGTGGCCAAGGGAATCCTCTTCCCACGTTGCCTCTCTGCAGCTCCATCACTGGGCCTCATTCCCTGTCTTCCAGCTTGGACTTCGTGGTGACCCCTCAGTCCCCTCCAGCACTCAGCCATGGAAACCTGAAGTGATGGGAGGAAATGAGTAGGAAAGGCTTTTGCTTGCCTGTTTTTATGAGCTCTTGTTTGAAATAAAGATTTGTACCCTCAGTGCTGTGGTGTTGTTCAGCCTCTCCCTGCGGCAAAGCCTCGAGACTCTGCAAGTTCCTGTATTTTTCATTGTGTTTGGAATCTCTTCCCACTGGGCCTCTGCATGGTGGCTGAGCTCTGCAGACCCTTTGCCAGCTGCCCTGGGTCACCCCCAGCTGCACTCATTTGAATCCATCCCAGGACTCTGGGGAGCTTTAAACTTCGTTTTTTATGCCAGAATCACTTGGATTTGTTCTCCTGCAGCTGAGGGAGCCTGGAAGATCATGATTCCCAGGACAAACACGAGTCAGAACACACTGGTTTTATTGGTTTTTTGTGAAGCTTGTCAACGTCAACACAGCAAGGCAGCGTCGTGCAGCAGCACAGGCCTGTCAGGACAAACACAGAATCGACACAACCAGGAGGGAGCTGCCACCGTGGGAAGCTCAAGCACAGCTTTAGCCCCTTCTCTCACTCACACTCACCTTCATCATCCTCACCCACCCTCACATGCACGCAGTACCGCCGTGGCAGCAGCGTTCCCACATCCTCCTGCTGCCCTGGAAAAATCCAACTATCCTGTGGAAGAGCTGGAGGGCACAACAAATCCTGGGGGTCTCCAGCTCTTCCCTGGCTCAGTTCCAAACCTGACTTAACCTGGGTTTATGTACCTTTGTTGAGAGGGGTTCTCCATTGACTTCAGAGGGTTCAAACCTCCCACCCATTGCCTGGTTCTACAGTACCAAGGTGTCTGAGACCCCCCCACCATCACCTGGTCTGTCTCCCACAAGCAGGAGAACAAAGGAAAAGGCTCTCAGCTCATTCCAAGCTAAAACTCGTTTCTCTGTGCCTCAGTGCAGGAAAGTCTCATAGCTTTTAAAAAACCAAAACCACTTTGGCTTTAGTCCGTTTGCCAGCAGAGGTAGTGGAGTCATGTTGAAGGGTTGATTCATGTCTTTACAGAAAAAGAAGCTCAAGATTATACTGGCTGGGGCTGGATCCAGGCCGTGGTGGCCCTGAGGAGGAGGAGGAAGAGGCACTTCCCTGTGGGGACCTGCCCCTTGCCCAGCTCCAAGAGCAGAGGGAGTTAGTCCTGGACTTGCAGCACAGCTTTTTGGAGATGAAATGACTGTACAACCAAACCCTGAGAGCTCAGCAGGGCTCAGGACCCTGCAGGCAGGCAAATCTGCCCTAAGGCTGTCCACAGCCTGTGGCTGCTCCTTGCATGGCTCCTGCCAAGGAGGGAAATGCCCACCAATCCAAATATCTGTCAATCCAAGCAGCAATGCAGATGCCATCAGCTGGGCCAGGACCACACAGTGCTGAGGTTTTGGGGCAGGAAGTCCATCCTGAATTCTAGTTCAGTCAGGTGCCAGTGAGGGACATCCCCTGAGATCCTGGCAGATGGCACAGCCCCAAAGCCAAGCCTGGCTCGGGGTGAGATGGTGCAGGGACTGCGCTGCTCCAGCCGTGTCCCTGTCCCAGTGAGCTGCCTCCAGTTCCATCTGTCCCTGTGGTGCCATCCTCCTGCCCATCCTGAGTGACTGCTGTCCCCATGTCACCCCTGGCAGCCTCAGCCATCAGGGGTGACCATGTCCTTTGACTCATCCAACCTCAATCTTGCAGCACAGGTGTGGGATTCAGGGATTCAGGAGCACAGCAAAAATAAAACACCTGACACAGGCACAGCCCTGGGTTCCTTCCCAGTCCTGAACAAGTGGAGGGTCTGCCCAGACTCAGCTCCCAGGCAAGGTCCTTCATGGCCCTGGCTGAGCCAGGGGTCCCAGCAGGCTGTGACCCCATCCCCTGTCTGGGCACCAAGGGGCTCAGAGGTTTTGTGTGAAAGCTCCAGCCAGGAAGCAGCCAGGACTCACAGCTGACACACCAAACCCCTCCAGGCTTCCATGTGTCCCTCCCACCCCTCCACATTCCAGTTTCCAGCATCTGGGCAGCCTCTGGGATTTGCCCCTTCGTCCATCCCAGTGTCCATGGTGGCTTAGAGGAGCCGGGGCTGCAGCTCGTGGCTGCCATGGCCCCGAGGGCTGCCGGGCTGGTTTGTGGCATCCCTGGGCGTGGTGGGGCTGCGGCTCTCAGGGTGTTCCTCCGCATCACTTTGCTCATCCCCAGGGCTGCAGCAGCGAGGAGCGGAGCCCTCTGCATCCGACTGACCCACGCTGCAGCTCCGGCTCCGCAGCCCCTCGCTCCCCTCCTCGCAGAAATGAACCTCCTCCGTGCTGGTCTCGCTCCCCTGCTTGCTCAGCTGTGTCCGTGGCTCCCCGGCATCCTCCAGCTCCGAGTCGGAGTCCACGGAGCGGTCGCCAGACTCTGTGGGACAGAGGAGCTCTGTGCCACCCTCCAGCCCAGCACCTGGCTTCAGCAGGAGCTGCATGCAGCAAAGCCTGGGTTCCTGGGGCAGGGATGGGTCTGTGTGCCCTCCGTGCCTCCCAAGGGACCTGCACCTGCCGGGAACCCCCAGTGCCTCCCACTGACCTGCGAGCGAGTCAGCGCTGAAAGCCAAACTCCCCTTCTCCGAAGGCAGCTCCAGGTAGGGGCTGGTGCCAAGAGGAGCCACAGGAGAGGAGCCTGAATGGGCCTGGGAGGGAACAGGGATGGTGGTGAGGGCACGGAGGAGAGTTCTCACTCCCTGGGAGTTGACTCCAGAGAAGGTTCATGGAACACCCCCGAGGGTCCCCTCTCCCTGGGCGCTCCTACCCGCTCATCACCACTGGCCACCTCCTCCGTGGCGCCCGAGCCGCGTCTGCCGGGCTCGGCCGGTGCCAGGTCCTTGTGCTCGAAGATGGTGGGGTAGAAGATGATGAGTGCCTCAATGATCCGAGCTTGGTGGGGATAATCCACCAGCGAGGACAAGGAAATCGTGGCATCCGTGGGCCTGGGGCGCATCAGTGTTGGCCCAAAGACGATGCCCAGGTTGCCTGAGGTCATCTTGTTGTCCTGCTCCACTTCCATGATCCTGGGTGGGAGGGGGAGGAAGAGCTTGTGAGAGCAAGGACGGAGAGGGGTGGATGGGCAGGGCTGAGGGGAGATGCTGGGCTGGAACACTCAGGGTAAGGAGAGAAGCAGCTGCAACCATGGATCTTCCTCCTGGCACCAGCGAGGAGGCTGCACTCACCCCAGGGGAGAAAGGGAAGGTGCCCAGCAGCCACACAGGCTCTGGCCATGCCCCTCTCACCTCCTCAGGTGCTGCAGGAGGTACTGGAGCGTGGCCATGTTCTCACAGGGGAGCTCCTTCAGCAGCTCCCTCAGCTTCAGCACCAGGCTCAGCACCACCTGGTCGGTGTCGGCTCCTCTGTCCAGCAGCTCAGGGCCGCCCTTCCCGCTGCGGCCCTTGGCCTCACCGCCCTGCAGGCTCTCCTTGGCCAGCCCCATCAGCTCGTTGTACAGCCTGAAGGGCATGAGGGGCTCCGGCAGCTGCAGGGAGAAGAGAAGAGATGATCCCAGTCCTGGGAGCAGCTCCCACCTCCATCAGAGCCGGACCTGTGCCGAGCTGGTGACACCTGGGGCATTTCTACAGTGAGGAAACATCTCTGGAAGTGCCTGAGGCCAGCTCAGAGAGGGCTTGGAGCACTTTAAACATCCATTTCGGAATTCCATGAGTCTGTGACCTGCAGTGCTGCAAACCTCTCCCCAGAGGTGGTATTTATTTATCCATTTCCTGGAGCGTGTCAGTCCAGCCTCGTTAGCCCTGGCCGATGAACACTTGTGAAGTTCAAGCCAAAAGCAGCGTTTGATCCACCCCTGGGTGCTCCCACCTGGCTTGAGGTGCAGGGATTCCCTTTTTTTCCTGGAAAATCCCTGGCTGGGGTGGGCCCAGCTGGAGGTTCCCCAGCAGATAAGGGCTGGCTGGGAAGAGGACAGGGATGGGCTGTTGTGGGTGGGGGTGGCAGGATGTGCAGGGCACAGGATGTGCAGGGCACAGCCTGCAGCAGGGCTGGGGCTGCGGCGGGGGAAACTCTGCTTTGAAGTTTGTGTGAAGCAGAGGGAGCTGGTGTTGGGTGTTCCACATGGCTGGGGATGTTTTCAGAGCAGCCTCAACGGATGTTTTGGGGACAGGCTGCCTCACAGCAAACGTGTTCCCTCCATCCACCCCTTTGTAGAAGGACTTTAAGCCACTTCTCTGCAGCAAGGGGTCAGGCTGGGGCTCAGCACTGATTTCCCCCTCTCTTTCCACTCTGCTTCTCTTTGGAGAAACCATGGAGGCCACTCAGAGTCCTGATGTGCAGGAGCCCAAGGACACAGCTTTCCCTGTGAGGTAACACAGGGCTGCCCCTCTGGAGGGGTCACAGTAAAAAGCAGCACAAAGAGTTAATCCACGGCTGCCTGCGAGGGAGAAGCAGCTTCCGCTGCGCTCCTGCCTTGCGGTGGTGGCTGTGGGAGGATGTGGGTGACGCTGTTTGCAACGACAGCTTGGGTATGGGGTGGGGGTGCTGGGGCTGAGCACACCCTGGGGT